TATCACTTTTTGGTGCCAAGTCATTTTGTATCACTTTTTGGTACCAGCAGACATTTTATATTTACAGAACATCTCGGTTCTGAGTAGCTACTTTTCAAGTGTGCAGTCTCCTGTGTTGGGCAGTGTAGCTTTGGAGCAGGAGAAATGAAAGTTCTCAAGTGTTACTCTCTGGTGGATAGAAATAACAGAGGTGAGAGAGTTACAATGTAATGCAATGGTTGTGTCCCCTAATCAACAGGTTTACATGGGCAGACTAGTGAAATCATGTTTGCATTTCTGTGTATTAGACACCTCTGAGGGCTAGAAGAAGTCCTGGCCTTTCAGAGTGGTCCACGACGTGATCTGAACTTCCAGCCTTTCTGGGGGAAGATGTCCATATACCCTTGCAACTTCCCGGCTTCCGAAGCACTCTTTATAACTCATTCTAGTATTTATTATGTATAGAAAAGTGTAGTAAGCATGGGGAAGCTCTCTGCTATCTTCACACAAGTTGTGTAATTCTTGCACTTAACAACCATCTGTTGAGCGTCTACTATGTGTCAGGCATTGATATAGCCAGGAGGTGCAGCAGTGAGCAAATAGACCCACATTTCTATCTTTGTCAAGTTTTATTCTAGTGAGAGGAGACAAACTATAAACAGAGTAAATAGAAGGTAAGAAGTGCCACGTAGAAACATAGAACAGAGAATGGGGGTGTGGAGGGTCACCTTCCAGATTTTAAATAGAGGAATCAGGGTCAGGGTCAGTTGAGGGTGTCATTGAAAGGGTGAAATTTGAGTCAATACTTGATGTTGAAGTGAGGGAACAGGCTTGTGGATTTGTTGGTGGAGAATTCCAGGTAAGAATTTATGAGAGTAGTTCACATGTTTTAACCTCGTGTAGCCCATTTTTTTTTTTTTTTTTTTGAGTTGGAGTCTCACTCTGTCGCCCAGACTGGAGTGCAATGGCCACTCCTGGCCACTGCAGCCTCGACCTGCTGGGCTCCAGCGATCCTTCTGCCTCAGCCTTCCAAGTAGCCGGAATTACAGGCATGCACTACCACACCCGGCTGATTTTTTGATTTATTGTAGAGATGAGGTCTCGCTGCCCAGGTGGGTCTCGAACCCGCGGGCTCGGGCAATCCACTCACCTCAGCCTCCCAAAGGCACGGGATTACAGGCTGAGCCACCGAGCCCAGCTTTGTGTAGCCCATTTTTAACGAATTTAAAACCATAATTCTGAGCTGTCTCTAGGCATAAAAGGCTAAGATTGCCTCCATTTCTGGGATTTGAGTATAAGAGTCTTGTGGTCTGACTTAACATTTCCATAAGCATCACTCTGGTGGGTGGGTGCAGAATGGATCGTCAGGGGCAAAGTGGAAACGTGGAGACACGTGAGGATGCTGTTCTAACAGCTCAAGTGGGAGGGTGGTGGCTGGGGCCAGATCTGAGGGTCTTGAGATGTGCTTGGAGTCTGTGATGCATTTTGAAAGGAGAGCCAACCTGATGCTGCCCTGAAGGAGAAGCATGAGAGGAAGCCAAGTGTCCGGGCCTGAACCACTGGAAGGATGGAATTGTCGTCACCTAAGACAGGAAAGACAACTGGGTGGAGGGCTTTGGAGTGATAACATTGAGATGGCTGTTAGATATCAGGTCTTTTTTTATCTGTGGGATGCAGTGTCCTTTAGTTTAACCTTATCCAAGTTTTCCACAGTTTTTTAAATCTTTTGTCTGATACTAATTTCTGAGAGAAGTATATGACTCTCTATCAATCTGATGGTGAATTAATCAAACTCTACTCATAACTCTGTCCATTTTTACTTTAATATCCTGATACTATATTGTTAAACACCTACAGATTTGATATTGTTATCTCTTTCTAGTGAGTTCTAACTTTTGTTATCAAGACCTTTGTCTCCTGAAGATTTTGCCTTGAGGTCTAGTTAATCTGATATTTATATCACTATGCCAGCTTATTTGTTGTCTCTTGGTCACCATTCACTTTTTTTTCAACTTTCCTTTATATATATATATTTTAATTTTGTTACAGCTTTGTTGAGATGTAATTCACACACCATACAATTTACCCACTTTAAGTATACAGTTTAATGGTTTTTAGGATATTTACAGTGTTGTACAACCATCACCTGTATCTGGTTCTGGAACATTGGCGTCACCCCAGAGGACACTCTGTACCATTAAACTGTCACTTCCATTCTCATTTCCCCCCATCCCCAGACAACCAATAATCTGTTTTCTGTCTACAAATTTGCCTATTCTGGACATTTTGCATAAATGAAATCATACAATATGTGACCTTTTGTGTGTTTCCTTCACTTAGCATAATGTTTTTAAGGTTCATCTATGTTGAAGCTTGTCTCGGTACTTTATTCCCTCTTATGGTTAAATAATACTCCATTATGTACATACCAGATTTTGCTTATTCATTCATCAGTTGATGGGCATTTGGGTTCTTCTCACCTTTAGGACTCTTATGAATAATACTGCTATAAACATTCATGTGCAATGTTTTTAATTCTCTTGAGCATTTTCCTAGTAATTTTGTGGTCTTGTTTCTTTACATTTATATCTTTAATCCATCGGAACTAGATTTTGGTGTAAGGTAGTCTCATAAGAACCAAGTTCTTATCTTTCACTTAAAAAATGTTCATAAATATTATTAAGGTGATTTTTTTTTTATTTGGAGTCTCACTCTGTCACCCAGGCTGGAGTGCAGTGGCATGCTCACTGCCACCGCAGCCTCGATCTGCTGGGCTTAGGTGATCTTTCTGCCTCTGCCTTCCAAGTAGCTGGAACTACAGACACACACCACCATGCCCGGCTAATTTTTTGTGATTTTTTTTTTTTCTTATTGTGGAGACGAGGTCTCACCAAGTTGCCCAAGCTGGTCTTGAACCCCTGGGCTCAGGCAATCCTTTTGCCTCGGCCTCCCAAAGTGCTGGGATTACAGGTTGAGGCACGGTGCCCAACCATATTAAGGTGATATTAATTGATCATCTTTTTACACATTAATTATATAGATTGTTCTTTGCAATTATGACACCTCGTCCACAATATGGAAGCATGCCTTAAAATGTAAGCAAAGATAATCACTACAGTTAAAATTTTTTTTTTTTTTAGTTGGAGTCTCACTCTGTCGCCCAGACTGGAGTGCAGTGGCCACTCCCGGCCACTGCAGCCTCGACCTGCTGGGCTCCGGCGATCCTTCCGCCTCAGCCTTCCAAGTAGCCGGAATTACAGGCATGTGCTACCATGCCCGGCTGATTTTTTGATTTATTGTAGAGATGAGGTCTCGCTGCCCAGGCGAGTCTCGAACCCGCGGGCTCAGGCAATCCACTCACCTCAGCCTCCCAAAGGCGCAGGATTACAGGCTGAGCCACCGAGCCCGGCTTTATAGTTAAAATTAAATAGATCTGGGCATAGAAGCTCTCACCTAGAGTTCCAGCTGCTTGGGAGACTGTGGAGGGAGGATCGCTTGAGCCTACATGTTTGATGCTGTAGTGAGCTATGATCACACACTGACTCTACCCTAAGCAACAGAGCAAGACTTTGTCTCTAAAAAAAAAAAAAAAGTTAAGCTAAATAGGTTACAATATTTTATTTTATTAACTTTGGGAGGAATAGCAGGGTCCTGCTGAGTAGCAAGACCCTAATGACAGGAGAGAATTCAATGCAAGGCCAGCTACCTGACATGCAGGGCGCATTACAAAGTGAGAAGGTGAGGCTCTGGCCTGGGGTGGGGAAGTCAGTCTCTTCTTCCTATGGCCTGTTGCTCCAGCTCACGTTTGCCATGAGGACTTGCAACCTTGGCACCAGAAGGCCCTTCACCCTAGGTGGGGGGGTAGGTAGAAACCGACTGAGCATATCATGGCCCTGCCTGCCCATGGCACAGCCCTCGTCTGAGCAGTGACTCCCAGGTCATGTTCCTGACTTTTTACGACCATGTCCAGGAACCCCACAAGTGTGGAGGTGATGGATGAACACAGGGTCCCCCTAATAAACACAACCCAGTTGTCACCCTTGCAGAAGGAGGCAGCAGTCATGAGGTAGGGATGGGGAGACCCCGTGGGGCCCAGAGTGCCAGGAGCAGGGAACAGGTAGGAGGAAACCATCATGGAGAGACAGTGGCAGGTAGGGACCTCATGTGAGCCGGGACTTCAAGCCCCCACCATGCTTTATTATCTCATTCAAACTCCACTTGAAGACATGGAATCAAAGATAAAACTATTAAGAATGTTAAGATGATGACCCCAGAGCATCATCAGTGTGAGGCCCTTCAAAGCATGCAGCCCAATCCTAGGACGTGTGATTTCTTGACTTTCTAACGTAATTGAAAAACTTGGTGCAGACTTTGACTCTACATATCAAATAAATATGAAGCAAAGCATGGTGCTGAATATTTTATTTTATTATTATTATTTTTTGAGTCAGGCCCTTGCTCTTTAACCCAGACTGGAGTACCGTAGTGCACAATCACTACTCACCACAGCCTCGACCTCCTGGACTCAGGCAATCCTTACACCTCAGCCTCCTTAGTAGCTAGTATTACAGGCATGCACCACTATGCCTAGCTAATTTATTTATTTTGTAGAAAGAAGGTCTTACTATGTTGCCTAGGCTGAAAACTCCTGGGCTCAAGCAGTCCTCCCACTTCAGCCTCCCAGAGTTCTGGGATTACAGGCGTGAACCACTGTGCCTGGCTAATACTGAAAATTTTAAATTAAATATATTTAAAGTGTAACTTTGTGTTGTCTTTAGTTAATGGCATTATCAGTGATTTTTTACCTTATTCTTTGCACTTTTTCATGTGTGTTTTCCAGATTTTCTAGAATGAAAGGGGTTACTTTTTATAATTACACAAGCCCCCCCAATGTTATATATTTACCAGCTATTGTTTTATATAAGTGCAACACATTAGGATTCTATATCCATTGGGGGGGGGGATATATGTTTAGTACTTTAACCTAAAACAATACGTTTCTCTTTTCTCTCCTTCCCCAGATCCATTAAGATAAGATTAGCCACACTCTCAGATACTTCTGGTGTAGAAAATCTCGTCAGCACCCTCATGCTGAGTAAAAGCATATTGGATGACTTAATTCAGTACAACAAGGCTCGCAAAGACCCTGTAAGTACCTGACGTGACCCAACTTGGCGATGCGGGACCATTAGGATGAGCCATGTGCATTCAGCTCACGAGCTTCCTTGGTCTTCTGGAGAGAATCACATGGAGGGCGTGGTGGGCATGGTGAAGGTGGAGTTGAAGAAGGGAGCAAGAGAAAACCATGGAAACTGGGGTTTAGGAAGTGATGCTATTCTCACTAGTGACCTCCAAGAGAGCCCATCAGATACCCTAAATCCTCATCTTGGGAATGGGAAATTTGGGCCTGATCCAGAAAACATCATACAACGAGCTAGATCCTAGTCTTCAGAATAGGCAAATACAGTGTATGACCGTGGTTAGGGAAAGGCAGCTCAGACATCCACAGGTCTCTGGGGCCCACCCCAGCAGCACTGGATATCAGTTTGAGGGTGAATATCCTGCTGGATGATGAGTCTGACCAGACCCTTTGGTTGAGCTCCCTGCATCCTCAAGGGTTGGATGGGCTGGGAAAGGTCCTGTATGACAAATGTGGCTTCTCTTCTGAGCATAGTAATGCATGTATATGCCGTGGCACAAAGCAGGTGTGTGGTGGTTCCTGTGTTAACACTGCTTCTTGAGGGTCATGCCAGTTCATCTGATGAGGCATAGAACTGTGCATAGAGCCAGGAAATATTGTACATAGTCCCCTTTTGAAAAAACTATTGTTGAAGAATAACCAATAAACAATTTGACTGGATTTCACAATCTGAATACACCATGTAACTGCACCAGTTTCAAGAAACAGACTAACTCCAGCCTGCTGAAAGTCCCCTAATGCTTCTCTGTTCAGGTACTTTCCCCTAGGTTAATGAGAGATGGGTCATACCTAGTTTTGAAACTTGTGTAAATGGAATCATACAGTCTGTTTTCTGCTATCAAGTTTCTTTTACTCAGCAATATGTATATGGGATTCATCTGTATTTTGGCACCAAGTATTTCACCGCATAATTATTCCACCATTTACTTCTTCATTCTATTGTTGAAGTCATTGGGGGAATTCTTAGTTACTGGCTCTTTTGAAAAAAATTTTCAATTAATTTTTAAGTCATCATGAGAGAGACCAAACACCTAAACATAGTGATACATATATAAAGGCATCAAATTAAAATAAGACTGCCTTCTAGCACATGTGTTTTGTTTTGACTTGTTTTGGTCTTTTTACCCCTTTGTTTTTTGCCCCTTCCCTCCTGGCCCCTATAAGTGATAGGATGTAGAGTCCTGGTTCTTAGAATGTCTAAGAAACCCCGAGGGTTTCCAAAACATATATGGCCATGGGATCTGTGAGTTAAAACCTATGTTATTCCTTTCCATCATGTTGATGTTTGTACCAATGGTGCAAAGGCAGTGGTGGGCCCCTCAGTATAGACCAAGGCAGTGGCAGCAAATATCCTAGTTGGTGGCCATGATGTTCTTCACCACCATCCCAGAAACCACAGAAAAAGAAAGCCACAACCGGATGTCACTGCACACCTATAAGAATGGCCAAAGCAAAAAGTAATGACACCACTAGATACTGGCAAGGATGTGGGGAAATTGGATCACTCATGTGTTTCTGTTGGGAGAGTAAGTGGTCCAGCCACTCTAGAAAGCATTTTGGCTATTTCTTAACAAACTAAAAATACAACTGCCATATAACCTAGCAATTGCACTCTTGGGCATTTATTCCAGAAAAATGGGGACTTGATAGGCAGCAGCCTAGTGGTCCTTCAAGGAATGGGGACACAAACTCCATGTCATGGAATACTACTCAGCCATGAAAGGAATGGACTGTTGACATGTGCATCAGCTTGGATGAATCTCCAGACAATCTTTTGCTGAGTGAGGAAAAGCCAGTCCCTATAGATTATACACTGTATAATTCTGTTTCTATGACATTTTGAAATGACAAAATTTTAGAAATGGAGGACAGATTATTTGTTGTCAGGAGTAAGCATGGGGTGGGCAGGCATGAGATGGAGCCACATAGGGGATTGTTGGAACTGCTTACTAACAGAACTGTGGTGGTGGATACAAAAACCTACACAGGTGATAAAATTGTGTAGAACTTAATACACACATAATTGTATCAATGTCAGTTTCTTGCTTGGCATATCATACTATGGTTTTGTAAGATCATACCATTAGGGGATACTGAACAAAGTGTATGAGGAATTCCTTTTTTTAAATTTTATTTTATTATAGAGATGTGGGGGTACACATAAGGATTAACTACATAAGTAGGCTGCATGCAGGTGAAGTTTGGGCTTCTGACTGGCACTCACTACCATGGTAGTGTACCAGGTACCCTTTGTGTTGTCACGTGTCCCCACCCCCTTCCCTCCTTCCCTCTCCTCAGCAATGCCTGGTGACTGCCAATCCCTCCCTTGTGTTAATGTGACTCGTGTTCAAGGCCCACTTATGAGTAAGACCATGTGGCATTCAATTCTCTGTTTCTGTCTCCAATTTGCTGCAAAGTCCATGATTTTATTCTTTATGGCTGCATAATACTCTTTCATGTATATGTACCACAATATTTCTTATAATTGCTTGTGAATCTACAACCATCTCAAATAAAATTCTAATTAAAAAATAAGGAATATCCTTGATGAGCCATTACAGTTATTAACTCTATAAAATCTCAACCCCTGGGTCCATGTATTTTTAATATTCTATGTGACAATTTGAGAATCACACATGAAGCACTTCTGCTTGGTCCTGAAGCATGCCGGGTATTTCCAGAAGCAACATTTCTGCAGCTGCTTGAGTTGCACGCTGAACCAGCCACCATTTTCACGACACACCATTTTTTACTTGAAAGAACAACTGGCAGACAAAATTTAGCTTTTTGGACTTGGGTAGTTGGCAGGCATTTTCTTAAAAACCAATGAGGTGAATCTGCCACTCCAGAGAAACACCTGCCAGCATTTGTTTCCTCTGATAAAACCTGAGCTATTAAGGAAAAAAAAAAAAAGAATTTGGAAAAACCAGTATCTGCCACCATGAGTTTGGCTGCTTCTCGGTATTTAAAGGGCTTTTTCTGATGAGGCTGGGGGTGATATTAATGAATGTGATGTTTTGATATTTTCTAATGAATTGGGTCAACATTTGGAAAATCTGCATAGCATTGTGAGCCACTGTTTTCCAGATAAACAATGCGTGATGTTACAGAAGCATACACAGGTAAAAGATTCATTCAAAGAAAAAAATAAAGTAGGTGGTTTAATTTTAATACTGTATAGTAGTGTTTACAGAGTTCATTGATAGGATTTTCAGATTCCACATTGCAACTCATCCTTAAAACATTTCCTTTTGGTGTGTTTTGGTGGAGCATCAGAAGAGAATACTCATAATTATCTAACAAGATTATAAAGAAATACTTCTTCCTTTTCCAAACACATATCTTTGTGAAATCCATTTTTTTCATATATTTCAACCAAAACAATAAATTGCAAGAGATAGAATGCAGAAGCAGATATAAGAATCATGCTGTCTTCTATCAACTCACACATTGAAAAGATTTGCAAAAATATAAAACATATAATAAATATATAAACCACTCTTTAAATATTGTTGTTTTGGAAAATTTAGTTACTTAAAAGAATACATTATGTTAACATGCAATGTGTTATTTTTGAATGAATTAATAAATAAGTTTAAGTGTTTCATTTAAATTAATTCACAAATGCATAATTTTGTTTTAATTTCTAATACTGAAAATAGAGGTGTTACATGCATAAACCAAAGTTCTTTGGAGTTGTCCATGTATAGAGGTCCTGAGATCATAAAATTCGAGAACCACAGATGTAGAGCTAAGGAAAGCAGATTCTGAGAAAAAGGGGCTGGGACATGAATCATAGATCCTTTTCTTACTAGCTGAATAACTTCAAAAAGTTATTCAGATGCCCAAGCCTTATTTTCTCATTAATATAATGGATATAATAATAATACCTCGCAGGGTTGGTGTGAGGATCCAGTGGGCACAGCGGAGGCATTTAGCTTACTACCTGACCCAGGTAAGTAAAGTGTTGATAGATGTTTTCTTGACGATCATTGTTGTTATGTGAAAGGGTTAAAGTCCACTGTTGACTGTTTGCAGAAACATTGGTAGTGAAATGTTTAAGGGTCCTAAGCTATATGCCTGTCTTTTCAGGATGAAACACCATTGCAGGCGTTTGTAGCCGAAGTTGCAGAACAAATAGTTGGCATTGCAGTGATCAAAAATGAAATGGTAAATTGTGAAGCAGACATTTGTTCCCCTGATTTTGCCTTCTTTTATATCATGAATTAGCATGCAGTGCCCCTTTTGAAGTATTATTTTTGCTTGTTAATGTGAATACCTCCTTTTTCTGAAGGGTATCATCATTATCTGCCTTCATCCCAATTCTCTCTCTATCTCTTTGCAGTTCAAAATATTTAAAATATTACAAAGAACACATGAAAACATTCTCATTCCAAAAATGTGAATAACCTTCTACTACAAAAAAGAAAGAAAGAAAGAAAAATGAAAAAAATCTCACTGCTTTCCCCAAAGGATTACTCATTACTGCTATAGTTAGACATTATTTTTCCGGAATTCTTCCTTGCACTTAATTACATGCCTCGTGTGTGTGTGTGCGTGTGTGTGCGTGTGTGTGTGTGTGTGTGTGTGTGTGGTCAAGTGGACATGCCATTGTATTTTTTCCCCAGTGCATAGCCAGTTATTCTACAGCATTTATTACTGAGTAGCCCATTTTTTCTCTACTGATTTAAAATATCACTTTTACATTTATGAGATTTCCATATGCCTGTGTCTATTTTAAACCTTGATTCTGTTCCATGGATTTATCTGTTTATACCTACTATGTTACTATGTGCTTTGCTACCTGGTAGGGGAATCTTTTCTCATTTGTCCTCTTTTTCTATTTTTTTTTCCCTTAGATATTTGCTCTTCCAGATAAATCTTGTAATACTTACTATGAATTTATTTGCAACTATGTGGATTCTGCAGAACAGTTTAGGCAGAATTTACGTTATTAACATATCTAGACAGTCCTTCTGGAATCCTGGTCTTCTGTGTTGCTGTTGTTGGACTCTTTGACTTCTTCAGAAGGTTTTGTGGATTTTTTCTTGCATGTTTTGCCATCCAGGCTTTTGTTTGCCCTATGGGTCCTCTCTCCACCCACCTCTACCCTGTTCTGTCCCAGGAGCCTGACGGGATGGGCAGTATCTGGGTGCCTTTGCCCTTTGACTTCCACTGGGTCTGGACCATGGGAGCCCTGATGAGAGAGAGCAGAGGATGGTGAGGCCAAGTGCCTCTAGCGGGCCAAACTCTCCATGGAATTCCCTGGCCTTTTCAAGATGGCTTCTACCCGCAATGCTCCCCTTTCGGACTCCTGTAACAGTCTCCCTCCTGTGCAGCTGTCCTAGGGTGGTACTAGCTTGCAGGTGCTGCCACATAGTCCCTACTAATTCCCTTCCACCTGTCTCATCCTAGTACCTATTCCCTTTGTTAAGTCCACCTCCCTTTATCCTAATTTGAACATTCCGTCTGTTTCCCATGGAGACCCTGACCTAATACAGTTCCGTTCGTTTATAATGTTTCTACATGTTTTATGATTTACCTTGGTATTGTGAATACACACTTTTCCTTGTATTTTCTAAATGTTTATTTTGTATATGGGAAAACTGCTGATTTTTGTATTTTGATCTTGTACCCAAGCACCCTTCTGATGTCTCTTAGCAGCCATGAAAGTCTTTCTGTTGATTCTCTTTCCTGGCCCAGCGTCACTTCTTCCACATCGTATCCGTCAGAGCACTGAGAGCGTGGGCTCAGACTCAAGGGATAGAGGGGTGGATGCCACCTTCGATGGCGTGTGGCAGGGTTACTTTGCAGAAGAGCATGTGGGATGTGCGATGGGAGATCCTGTCCTGGTGGCCATCTTTGGACTTTTTGGAGAGTAGAACCTGCCATACCTTCCTTTTTAATATGTATCCTTTTACCTTTTTCCAGTTCTATTGTATGGCTAGAAGAACATGGTATAGTAGTGTTAATAATGGCTACTTTTGTGGTGCTCTTGACTATAAGTGAATGATTCTATATTTTCCTTCATTTAGCATAATTTGCTGTTGGTTCCTGGGAGATAGACTTTATCAAGCTAAGGAAGTTTTCTTTTATTTCTAGCTTACTAAAGTTTTTATTATGAATGAGTGATGGATTTTATCAAATGTGTTTTTCACTTTGTTAAGGTGTACATATGGCTTTATTCCTTTAATGTATTGTACACTATCCTCTGTCTTAGATTTATTTATCTTTTTGATTCAATATACTTTGGGGTTATTTTTTTAGAAAGGGTGGTGGATAATAAGGTCCCCGAGTCCATACATACACAAGAAGTTTCCATTGCACCCTCATACTGCATACTCATTTGACTTGGTATAGAATTCTCATTCAAATTATTTCTCATCAGAATGTTGATGTTTGCGGTCTCATTGTCTTGCAGTATCCAATGTTATTAAAAGAAAATAGGTTACATAAGAAAATGTTATCAAATATAATCTGATAGCAACCTGGTTCTTTAGCCTTTGTAGATAAATGTGTTTGTTCATTCTCTTTCTTGAGAATTAAATTTTTTTTGTTCCTGAAATTCTGACATTTTGCTAAGTATCTTGTGCCTGTTATGCCTCTTTTGGCAATTTTTCTTCTATGATTTCATTAATTATTTCTTCTCCTCTGTTGTCGCCATTCTCTTTTAAAATTTCTTTTCAGATGGATATTGGATCTTTTTAATTGATTTCTCAATGTCTTGTAACACATATATATGTATATCATCAGTGTGGGTGGCTGGCATGGGTGTCCCTGACAGTTGTGACTGTGTGTTCCTCCACTGCAGGGCTACCTGCCCCCTCTGTCTGATTAGTTTGGGCTTCCTCTTGTGTGTGTGAGTGGAGTACCAGCAGATAGGCAGAAACCCCTAAGTGATCCAAGGTGAGAAGGTTTAACCCAATGGTAGAGTTTTCTTCCAAGGAAAAACTGCCTCCAAGGTAAACTGCCATCCACTTTTGTCCTTCAACATACTCTCATTAGTCCAAAAATAATTTTGTTTGGTATTTTAAGGGATTTGGAATGGGAGGAAAATTAGATGCATATGGCCTATCTGCTATTTTGAGCTAATAACCTCTGTTGACTCTTTGTTTTTTGTTTTTCAAGGATTCTTAGTCCAACATGTATCACTCATTTTATTTTATAATGAGGGATGCCTCCTCAGTAATTAAAGAAAAGTCTTATAGTTATAGACAATTACAGGGTTAGTGTTGATTGAAAGTTTGCCAGAACTGCCCTGGTTACCAGGTTGCCAGGGGTTCCACCACTGGCCTGGTCATCTCGACTCTGTTTCTTCTGTGCTTTGTGACAGAAACTGGAAAGAAAAAGGACCTTGAGTAGCTTGGCCACTGACAGTTTTCATGAGTTTGCTAATAACAACCTTTCTGATCGCAGAATGCATCAAGTTCCTTGCATTCTCCAACTTCTTGTCTCAAAAGTATGCTCTTCAAACAATCCTACTTTGGAAAACGAGAAGAAATATAAGTCGGTGTTTTCCAACCTGCATATGACTTGACTTTCCCCACATTTGAGGTGTATTTACTGCTCCTGTCATCAGAGAAAGTCTCACTCCTCTTGGATTGTGCCCCTTAATCCCTGACAGTGTGCGCTGCTGGGTGGTGACTCAGTACCCAGTCATTCTGGACAAGTCCCTGGTTCCCAGTGCAGTGTGGGGACAAAGGGGGCCATAGCCAGGCCCACAGAAATAGGGGCAGTGTACCCAATAGTTCCTTTCACAAGTAAACACTCATCCATCTTTTGAGTGACCTCACACTGTGTGAAAGTGTCATGCATGGGGTCTAGAAGGTTTAGGGCATGCTCACAGAGGAGGCCTGGCCACAGACAGGCTGACTGTAGGCCAGCCAGCCACATGTGCAGCCAAAGCATCACCCACTAGCAGGCGAATAGCCAGGAATCCAGGGAACGCCAGTTGACCCGCCTGCCTGACTCCTGCCCTTCCCACAGACCCGGACTTTGGTACTGAGTGGCTCCTGCTCATCTTATCCTGCAGTGATGAGAGGCGGCTGTCCTGCCACCTGGCCACTGGCAGAGATGTGGGGCCCTCAGAGTCATTTTCAGCCATGGTATGTAGGGAGCCAATGGCAAAGCCACATGGCCATCCCCCAAAGCCAGGCCATCAGAGCGAGGAGTTTTATGTTTTCAGGAAACATAATTTCTCATTTAAAAAAATGTACAATGAAGATGTGATAAATAATAGGAGATAAAAAACATGTTTCCTATTGTTTAACCTCAAGTAACTGTATGAGGTGTTTCTCAAGACGACACGCGGCTTGTTCACACACCTTCCTACCTCTCCTCAGGACATAGAGTACATCCGAGCCCATTACAACATTGAGGACTTCATCTACTTCAGCCACCACCAGCGCGAGGAACACGGGCACCTGCAGCACTTTGCCCTCAACCCTACCTTCCGGCACTACACCAAGTTCTTTCTGAAGGAAATCCTCCGTCTAGGCTACAAGTCCTGCCTCTACTACCCTGTGTACCCAAAGGCCAGGGAGGGCGAGGTAAGAGAAGGGTATCATTCACCTTTCCTGCAGAGAGCGTGCGCAGTTATCGTCGGTGCTGTGTACTATCTCCCACTCAGTCCTCTCTTGCTGGGCTCTGATGATATCATGGGTCTGAATTTTTGGTGGCCATATTTTACACTGCAGTAAAAGTCCAGAAGGCTTTGCATTACACTGCAATGAAAGTCCAGAAGGCTTTGAATTTTCTTACACTGCAGTGAAAGTCCAGAAGGCTTTGAATTTGGTTGACTCTTCTGTATTGACAAAACAGAGACCAAAAACCATGCAGAAATGCTTTAAGAGACATAGAAACGGAATGATTTCCTATGGTGCATTAGTGCTGTGACAAATAATACATGTTCTCCCAGCAAAGGACCACAGCAATGAATCTGTCAAGTAAGTTAGTTCTGTTCTATGAAATTGATGTGCTGTCATGGCCTTCCAAGTAAGTGCTAGAACCACGCCCACAAGAGTGAGGGAGAAAAGGTGCAGACAGGTGATCCTGATGTAACCTTGATGAAGCAGACACCAATGTAAGCCCACAGAATACTTGTTACACTTGCAGAGAGCAGTCCTGCTGCAGGAGAGAAGACCTAGTGGGTACTCATTGTACCCATGTGCACACACACATAGCAAGTCCCCTGCTTACCTCCATGTCCCCATCCTGCTTGGGTTTTCCTCCTAGCACATTTCACCAGCTAAAATTACACATCTTACCGTGAATGCAAGATGTTCTGTCTTGTCCAAAGCTGTATCCCCAGTGCCTAGAAGAGTCACATATGCGTTCTCACACCCACCACACACACACTCACATTCACACACACTCAAACCCACCCCACACACCTACCACACATTCACTCTCACATGCTCACATACAGTGTCTGGTTGTTCCACAGGGAATGTCCTATTCAGGCTGGACTCCTGAGGGACTGTTTCCTGCAAATGGGTGTCTCTGTCACTGACAGCATTGGCCCTCAATTCGGTGTAAGCTCAGGGGTGAAGAAGTTTGACCACTAGAGTGGGTAGAAGCTGTCCCATCAGATTCTACTTGTGACTCAAACTGCCTCGTGTTCTGCCTAGAGTCTTTGGCATTGTCCATTTCTTCTTCATTAGCACAAAGAAACTATGTTGATTTTTAAATGACCTTATTCATTAAGATGTTTATTAAACTATTTAAAGTGTATCAGTATACACACGACAAGAATTTGGTCAGTGTATTTTATGTAACAAAAGCCTTTTGGAGATGTACGGAGGGAATGAGGGATAAAAGCAGGAAAACCATGGGAAGGTTTTCAGAGGGCTGCAAATTCTGCTTTAGTTGCTATTAATTTTTTTCTATCAAAATGCAGCATGCTAGCAATGAAACGTCCTGGCTTGGAGTTTCATGAGATGGGAAAGGAACAGTGTCACTGCAGAATCTTGTCCTGGACAACTGCCTTTTCCTTTGTACTTGGTCAAAGGCCAATGTTGTGACCTTCAGGATATGATATTAAACTCTTATTTTTGTTCATGATGTTGCTTGGGTGTTCTGGGTTGGAGCAATTTATTTGCATCCATAATAAAAATAATCTCTTGCACATTTCACTGAATATTTATATGTTTACCTCCATAGCATTGAATTAGGAATATGTTGTGCACTATTGTATACGGGATAAAATCACTTTTGGAAATAGGTTTCCTCTTGGTCTGCACTGCCAGTTGATTTACACATATGCGTTTAAAGCAAGCATAGGAAGCAGCTCCAAATAATTGGAGTAGAAATTCCCAAATTCTGCTCTGAATCCCCAGTTGACTATAGTGAGGTTGAGCTTTTTGGCTCGTGTTATGAGGATGGATTTCTCCTCATCTCTCTGGCCGGGATGTATGTTAAGAGCTCTTTCAAGCATAAAAATGGAGCACCAGCTAGGAATTTATGGGTTCAATTTTTTAGTTTGTAAAGTCAGGGTGTGAAGTTCATTAGTGAAGAATTTTAGAAAACCCTTTTAGAAATTCTTAGAAATAGCTGGGGCTATCTTTGGAACAGTAAATAAATCATATGTAAACCATCTATTTATTAAAATGCATCTACAGTTCAGTTTTACTTTCTTTACTTGCCAGCTAAATTCAACAAATATATCATTAAAAGTTTTGGTTTTACAATCTAACTCTTGAGGTTTAAACAACTATAGTGCCTGAGTTTGTTTTGCCAAAATCCCTAAGATTTCGTACATGTGAGAGAAATAAAGATCACCATGTTCAGTTTTTTCCACTAAGTTTTAAAAACTGGATAAAATTAATATTTAAAGCATTATCCTACAATATGATATATCATAGTTCATTTCATTAAGTGTAAATCCAGCTCATAATTTAGTATTAATAAAAGTCCGAATAATACAATTTACTTCCCCTGCCCCCACTTCCACTTTTCAGGTTTATCCCTTTGTTCTAAAACAGTTATTTGATTAACAAAGGTCCAGTGGGATCACTGTTGGTGACTTTTACAAACAGGAGGATTTCACATCCGTGCTAAGTTGCCCCTTGGATGACATTTTTATCTGTGTCTTCTTAAAGCAGCTCGTGCCAAACACACAAAGGTTAACAGGACGCAGAGAGCACAGCTTAATGGGGTCAAATCAAGCTGATTCATGATCACTATGGAGAGGAATATCCTCCTGGGGAAAATACTTGTACTGAAAAATCCCATAAACCAAACCACTTGTTTATCTGTCATTCCCACAGAGATAGTAATGTAATTACTCTCGTAATTATCTTCATTAGTGTCAGGCATTATCTACAATTCATTCCTCTGCTCGAAGAGTATGTTTGTTTATTTGCTGATTTTTTTTCCTCTCTGACTTGGCCGAGTTAAGAGTTTTGTATTTGCAAAGCCACACGCAGACATCTGTGCTGCGCTGCTCTGACATTCTCTCCCCTAAAATATAGATTGCTGTCTTTCAGTTCCAGAGCTCTTACGCCCACTCCCTGACATCTGCCCTTCATTACTTGGTTCCCGTGCGGCCACGACGACAGATTGTCTATCCTCTGGAAAAGCTTGGCATAAACGCTCCATCAAAGGCGGTCTCCAAGGATCTGGTGGGTAGCAGGGCGGCAGGCAGGGCGGCGCGGTGCCAGCTCCCGCGGGCTTGGCAGATGGGGTGGCAGCGCTGTCTTCGCGGGAGCAGGCTGCTTCTTAATTACAGGGAAGCTGGTGCTCATACCCTTACAGGGGCACCCTGCCTGGGCTCCCGCGGCCCCTTCCCTCAAGTAGTTGGTTCACGAAAGCGGAAAACAGCAGCCACAGTGTCCCGCGGGGCACCCCAGGGGACAGCTGCGCCCCAGGACAAATGGACTGGTGTCACCCTCCCAGCACATTTTTGTTTTCTTTCCCCTTCTTCAAAAGCAGATGTCCCCTTGCAATGATGCTTTTCTTTCACGGCATTAAGTGGTCGTTCATCGTTAAGACAAAGCTGAGGGAGGAAAGGGAGGGCTCCTTGCCTTGTCTGAGTGGGGTCCTAGGCTGGCTTAACGCCTCCCTAGGGGAATGGGGAGATGGCAGGAGCACACTGGCTGGGGGTGCGGGGGGGGGGGAGTGTTCAGGAGTTCCTGACCTTAAAGTAAACCTCCCCAGACACTTTTCTTACCAGCACAGGAAAAGGGACTGAAATAGGACCTAGATTTCATTGTAAATGGAAATGTACCTTTATACGACACACAGCCATTTTCAGCAACTTAACTGGAAAACATGACGTTGTCACATGGACTGGCACGTGGACTTGTGGTGTTTGTTTTCGTGTCCAGGTTTAAAAAAAAATCCCTCAGTGGCTAACATTTGTCCTTTGTGAGAGAGAATAAAGTGTAAGTTTAAACTCTCCAAACATTTAGCCAAGGAGTTGCTGGCTGTGGTGCTCAGATGAACACCTGGTGACTAGCTCAGCCTGCAGGAAGTGGTGGCCCTCTCCCTGCACCCACCTCACTGTGGGGGCACTGAGGGAGGGAGGGCACCTCTACCAGACTTGTCTTGGGGCAGCTCCTCCAAGTCCCACATGTATTGATCTTTATACTTGTAAAATAAAAAATAAATTTGTATTTATTTTCGGATAGGTTGTAAATTTAGATGTGTGTAGAGACTGAAAGCAGATAGCAATTCTTTTCTCCCTGCCTCTTTGTTTTGGAGAACATCCAGCATACAGAGAGGTGGGGAGTACAATACAGAGCAGGGTTGCACAAGCTGCCGGGGTCTTTCTATTTTATTTTTATTAATGTACAATTTGCCATAGACTGACAGTTTTCAAAAAGTGAATTCCTGGAAAAATGAGATGAAAAAGCAGACAGACAAAATTCAAGTCCAGTTATTTTATTAGTAGCTTTAACAGATATAGAATTACCCTGTCAAATTGCTGTAGATGCTTCTAAATGCTCCTCAGCCTCAGAACTTACATCTTCACAGACCTGTAACAGTGTACGGGCACTTGTCCCAGACCACATGCCGGTGGCACTGAGATGCTATGTTCTCAGCGCCCTGTGGGTGATTGTCAGCTCTTGGCCAGTTTTGTGATCTTTAGTGTACCTCTTCACTGTTCTCCTATGTCATTCTGAAGCAAATCCCAGATACCTGTCACTTCATCTGTAGGTCACAGGTGTGCACTTAAGTAGCAGGGCCCACATACTCAAGAGAGGAGATGTGGCTGGGTTCTGCGGGAGGGCCTTGGGGATGGCTGTCAAGGTCACCTGTTTGCATGTGAACACCCTGGGAATGAACCCCTTGAGAACAAGAGCCCACACCCACACGTGTGGTGCAAAGATTGTGCCTTAAGGTTAGAGAGGGCAGCTACATGCTGTACCCACCACTGAAACACATGGCTTCCAGAGAACCAGGCTGATCCTGGTAGGAGAGCAGGGGACACAACACACAGGCACCCCAGACGTGCTACCTTGCAGCTTCTGTAGCAGATCAGGGTCAGCGTGAGAGATGCTGTACTTTTGTAGCCATTGCTGAGGCACCCTCGAGTGTGGCTAGACCAGGCCAGGAGAAGCCCTCGGGCTTCATGGCAGCCTGTGGTTCCTGTGTCTTCAGCCAATTCTCTGGTGGCATGGACAGTGGGACCGGGGCTGGAGGGAGCCAGAGCTGTTCACAGATGGCGAGAGCGTTGCTTGTCAGGACATGAGGGCACTCTGACCCCCACCCTGGGAATGTTCAGGAAGGTGACCTTGAGGCGAGCTGGAGTTCCAGGTGGAGGGAAGCTAGAGAAAACATTCTGTTTCACTTAAAATGATTCAGGCATTACTTCTCAGGCTGGTATGATTTGAAATCATTGCTTACATAAATAATCTTGACCGTGGTCATCTCTGTATGTGGTGCCCAGCAACACAGAACAGAGATGGATTGTTCAAACCCGGGGCTCAGGAAGACAGCCACTTAGCGGACAGGAGGGAACACAATGAGGCTGATGCGCGTTACCTACTGCTTGTGCCGCCGTGTCTGTTTAACCGTGAATTCTGACTGTTTAAGAAGCACTTCTGCGACTACTCGTTGTGCTGAAGCCTGAGAAGGTTTTTTTGTGAACATTTAGATTTAGAAAACAAGATTTAGTAACAATTTTAGAAATCTTAAAATCTTGATCAGAGGATTCTTTATCGAGGCTGCATTCCACATGAAATGGGTCTGGATGTTTAAAAGTTAAAATGCTAAATTATATTACTTAAAAAATTATCTTCCTCTTTTTAGCATGTTAGATGGTTGTAATGTTTCAGAGTGTCTGAGGCAAGTTGAGCTGAGTAGGATTTCTTAGAAGACATTTCTGCGGCATCCTCAATGCACTGTTTTCTTAGGAGAGCAGTAACTTGAGGCAGCTGAGCTGTGCAAGGTCGAGCGATTGTCATTATGTCCTGAATTTCTTTCTTCCTCTAAGGTTCACATTTTCCTGCCCCTCCTACCCTACTTCCAGCCTCATATGGGACCCTGAACACCTCACCACATCCATATCATTTCTCTTGCTGGCTGCTTACCTGCTATACCTTTTATCCTTTTTAGAGCATCTTGGAGTGATTGTCCAGTCCCTAGCTTTCACCTAGGAAGCCAATCTTCAAGGGAACAGATCACCCCAGGCATGAGTAATGGGATAGAAAGTGTTTCATCTCGGTGGGTTGCCAATTTGAATCTGGCACAAGGCAGCGGTGATTGAAATTCATCACTGCATGGTAGGGAAGTATGCCCTCCCTCCCCACCCAAGGCCCTTGTGGTTTCTGCCTGGTTTGGATGCTAGGTGTCTCTGCCACCGCACCTTCCCTATCGTTTCTATTAATTGACAGCCTACCCGGCTGCAGAAAGGATCTGGAAAACATAAATGATTTTCATCACAGATTTCAGAAGTGGGCCCCAGGGATCATCATAATATCTCCATGGTCAACCAGTGGAAATTCATGGATGAGAGAGATGGCTTTTTCCTGACCAAAACCATAATCTGCATGATAGACCTGGGAGATTCTTTTCTTAGCTTAACTGGGCGATCTTAGCCTGTGCATTTATATTCTGAGAGTTACTCTCATGGAAAAAAATTTTTTTTTTTTAATGAATCATTGTGGCCCACCTGCATAAGGGCTGTAGTCAGGGAAACACTCAACTTTTGACTGAATTAATTGAGTGTTAATTTAAGACTATGGAACAAGTTGCCCTACACTTACTTTGGGGGTGGGTATATATGCAAGCCTGGTTTCTTTCCTTCCTGCCTCTTACAGGGATTCAGATGACTGTGTCACCACATCTGCCTGCAAGGAGCTTCCAGTCTAGTTTCAGAATTAGCCTGGGATGGAAGAGGGTGGCGAAAACCCAGGAGAAAGAGCCACATGGAGATTAGGCCTGTGTCTGCAGAACTCCTGGGGAGGGAATGCCTTGGTATCTGGGGCACTGATTTCTTTCCAAGAGTGGGAGTTTACATAACTATTATTTGACACATTAAACTCCAGAAAGTCCGCTTTGAACTTAACCAGCCCCTATCCTTGCTGCAAAGTCAATAGACACTCCCTATCGCCCACTTCAATCTCAGGTCTTCATCTTGGTGTATAATGTTCATAGAATTGTAGTATGAACTCACCTCTTTCGCACGCACTTGCTCTCAGAATTTTCTGGGACTGAATCAACCCTTCCTCTTTCCTGAGGAGTCGTACTTTCTGAGTGATCAATGCCTGTTATTTTTTTCTGGTTGCTTATGAATGATGGCCTGATTAAATCTTGACTAATGACTTCTCTGGAGGCCTCCATTTGGGTTCTGTGGATTTGATTTCTCCACATCTCCCCTTTGTCCTTCTACAAAGAAAAATGATGGCTTATTTGACCCCTCCCCCTCAGAGCTAAGTGATGGCCCCACTTTTTTCTGGTATGTGATCTCTCAGGAAGATGTCACTGGCTGGCATTCAGTTACCCTTTGAATTGCCCCTTTTCATCTCGGCTGCTCTCCCCCAATCCAGCTATAATTACCATCTGATGGACTGTTACTGGATACTGTTTCACTTGTGCATCTGCTGCCCTAGGAAATTGCATTATTCTCCCATCACCTGCTAGATTTTCCCCAGCCTGATTGTTTCCCAGACTCTTCCTTAAACTTGGTGACTTTCACCACTGGTAGACTTCCCTTGGTTATATTTGTGGTTAGGGTATGTGGAGTATTTTTAAAATCAGCTCTTTGGCATCTCCTTGGTACAGGTGTCTAAAAATGCAAACCCATATTTCTTAGCATCATATAGACACTGATCATCATTAACATGACTAGGGGAGGAATATTTTCATGAAGTGAAATTAACCCACTTTAAGTCCTTACCATGAGTCGTTTGCTTTTTCAAGTCTCTTCTCTGCCCGTTCCTACGTGTTTTCACTGTCTATGGAAAATGCATTGTTTTCTGTTAGTGAACCTTATTCTCTATGGTTCTTAGAATAATTTACATACATTTCTTTATGGGCTTTTTTTTCTTTAGACAATATAAGTTTTATGGTCATTTCTTTCAGTTCTCTGAGCATGATCTAGTTTAATATAATATGTAGTATACAAGTATACATCAGAATAACATACACCAGTGATTTATTCTCGTTACTATCCTAA